GCGCGCTCCGCCCCGTCCTGGGAGCCGCCCCGCCGGCCCCTGTGCGCGCGGAGTTTGCGACCGGCTGGCAACCTTCCCCGCTACGCGGGTTCCGGGCCAGAGCAGCGGCGCGCCCCCGCACAGTCCCTGGCTGAGTCGGCAGATGCGCAGCCTGTGCCCAGCCTGTGCCCGCTCCCCTTCTTAGGGTTTAACTCTCTTTCTCTTCTCCTCCTTCTCTCTTGCTGGAGATGAAACCCAGGGCCACGCACAGGCCAGGCAAGTGCTCTCCCACTAAATTACATCCCAACCCTTTAAAAATTCGTATTTTGAGACAGTCTTGCTAAGCTGTCCACGCCGGCCTAGAATGTGTGGCCCTCCTGCCTCTGCCTTGAGAGCAGCTGGGGTTACAGGCGTCGTATGTCACCGCACGTGGCTGGGTTTGGCCCTTTGTGACAGTGGCAGGATCTAAGGGAGAGCCCTGGGAGAAGGACAACAGCTAAATCTTATTCTTGTGGATATCGTTTGTAGGCTTGTTTGCTTTAGAGAAATGATTGTAGGCGATCGGTACAAAAGGAATGTAACACGATTTGAACATAATGATAGTTCAACCGTTGGTACAGAAATGGCACTTGCTTATTTAATACATATTCACATTCGTTCATTAATCATTAAAAAGGTATTGGGTGATAAAAGCAAGTAGCGAAGAGCAAGCAAAGCTAGGGAGTTTGTCCAGATTTTCCCTGCTTTGCTCCAAACGCCTCGCCTTCCAACCAAACTCTTGAGCTACCAAGGCAGTAAAAAACTTTTACTAATTCTGCGAAGTTTACCTGTGGAAGCATGTTCCATTCTTATAATTCTAAAAAAGCAATACAGCACTTCTAAACCTTTCGGGCAAAAATCATCAGTCAAGAAACTACATTTTCTGTGCGGGGACGTTGTTACACAACAGTGCCTGGCTGAGTAGCCTGCAGCAGTCCCGGCCTTAATATTCTCTTCATGCCACGCTCTACCGAAGCAGCAGAGGGTGAACTTGCTTTACTGTATAAGCCTTCCTGGAAGGGTGCCTGCGTAACCGCAAAAAAGCAAGTAAAAAGGGAGGAGGGGTGCGGGATTGGGGTGGGGCCAAGCAGAGCCAGGAATGGAAAAGATGACCCCAGAATTGAGTCCAGGCGCCTCGACTTTCTGTATTTTGTTTTTTTTTTTTTTTGTTGTTGTTGTTGTTGTTGTTGTTGTTTTGTCTTTTTGAGACAGGGTCTCGCTATGCAGTTCAGGCTGGCCTTGAGCTCATTGTGTAGCCCAGGCTGGTCTCAAACTTGCAACGTTCCTCCTGCTTCAGCCTCCTGTACGCCACCACGCTCGGCTCTTAGACTTTCTGTAAACTCATTATCTAGTAGAGCCTGGCAAACTCCTGGGACCCGGGAATGGCCCTCAGAGCGGGGGGTGGGGGTGTGGCTACTTTTCAGTAAACATTGACAGTTACCCTGGAAAAGAGGAAATGAAGCTAGGTGACTGCGCGAGACCTTGCAGCGCGTGTCAACTCGCGCTGCAACCTTTCAAGAGCAGGAGGGTCTTGGTCAAGTGCACGACCTTGTCAGCACTAGCAAGTCTCAACCTTTCTTTGCCGTCGCCCACCTCCAGGCGTACCCCCGAACAAGAGGCGGGGGAAAACTTCCAAAACCACCAAAATCTTAACACGCACTACAAGTCCCAGCATTCAGCGCTGCCTCGGGCTAAACACCAACAGGACCCGCCCGAAAAACTACAAAGCCTAAGATGCAGCGCTGCCTCGGCTCCTGAGCTCCTCCCTGCAGAATTGGATCAGGGTTCCCGCTGCATGCTGGGAATCCAGCAGATTTAGAATCTGATTGGTTGAAATTTGCCAGTGACGTCTTTTAGGGTGGAGCAGTGTTCCTAAAAAGCCGGGCAGGGGGCGCTAGGCAGTTACTGCAGACGGAAGCTGGCGACAGAGTCGGTGCGGTCCCTCCTTTCCAGGTACGGCTCTCGCGCGCGGCGCAGAGGGCGGCTGTGACCCGGCGGAAGCAGTTCCGCGGACTGCCCCGGAACCCACGGGGGCAGGCCGCTGGGGTAGGGGGGCGGCCCTGGAGCAGGGGCTGCGGCGCTCGGGAAGCACTTGGCTGCGGTCGCCGCGCTGCGGAC